CCTACGGCCCAACTCAGAATGTGCAAGGACTCGTCGTGTCCTCGACTAACGAGATATTTGCGGCTGACGTTCGCTACAGAATCCATGTCTTTAACATGAAGGGAGTTTTCCTTCGCAACTTCTCCACAGGAAACATGGAACCACGTGCCATATCTATAGGCAGAAACGACACCCTGTGGGTGGTTTTGTACGGTCCCAGACCATGTAATAAAAATGGTCAGAAATGTAGAAAACATGCCATCCACCAGTTCACCAAAGATGGCCATGCCCCGATTACTAAATGCTTATGCATTGGCAGTCCAATCACGGCGATTGCCTGGCACAAGATTTCTGACAGATTCATAATGACAACGCCATACGATAGAAAGTCCGTGTGGTTACGTCCTACTAAAACACTGACACAGTCGACACCAACATGTAAAATGAAAATGTTCGGGTCTAAGGGAATGTTTCCAAAGTATGTCACTGTGGACAGGAAAGGGGACATCTACATCACAGACTGGCAAGGCAGTCGTATTTTAAAGTATGACAAGAATGGAGTCTACCTTTACAGTTTCGGCAGTCCAGGTAGTGGAGCAGGGAATCTTTATAATCCCTGCGGAATCTGTGTGGACAGTTTGGGGCGTGTGATCGTGGCTGATACTGGGAACAGCCGGGTGGAGATGTTCACAACTGAAGGAGATCACATCCGCACCGTGGCTTACATCCATAGGCCCGCACTTGTAGCTACAGGTGGGGAGGGGCAGCTTGTTGTGTTAAATCAGCATGACTTCATAACCATCTTGCCTGAATATTAGGGCCACATACACTGTGCTTCTCAAACATGCTCTTGACACATTTGGCAGGAGGACAAAATTAAAGGAAAAGGACTGAGAGCATTGGACTCGGAACCAATAGGTCGCGGGTTCAACACTCACCGTGGTCGACGGTCAGACGTTGTGCCCTTGGGAAAGACACTTTACACTTCCTGTACGGTGGAGTGACTCTGCCTCTTAGACTAATCCGTCAAATGTATACCAAAAACACATTACGGATTTGCCAATTAGCACATTTGCCAACAGGAGCTATAAAAAGGCTGAGAAGTTAACTTGATTCAGACTACATTCAACACAAGGGACAGGGGACGGACTTGCTTCTTATTGTACCACTAGAACTTACTATTTGGTACAAAAATCTTCATCAGTTGTTTGATTACAGGGCTCGAAATACTGGGGGCATGTGAACCCAAATTTGGAGCTGTGCACCCAATTTTTTTTCTGTGGGTGCACCAGTGCACCCAAATATTTTCGTAGGTTTACACTTGATGTTAAATGTATTGTAGTATACAACATATTCTTAACACCTAAGTGTTAGAAAAATAACAAAATCATTGTTATAACACTTAAGAAAAATAAAATTGTGCACCCAATTGTTTAGGTTAGGTGCACCAGTACACCTATCCTCAAAAATGAATTTTGAGCCCTGGATTACCTTAATAATTCTTAAGTGGCTGTGTCGCTGCTATTCCTCTATGATACCAGAAAAATACACCCGACTTGAAAGTTACCATGGCTAATGATTGTTATGGGTTTAGGCAGCAGGAAAGGTGTTTAACAAAGTCGAATTTTTCAATTACTGTATGTTGACTGTAAATTAGCTGAAATTGACATTTAGCAATTGATTGGTTGATAATGTTTTTAGTCACCATGGCTGATGATTGTTATGGGTTTAGGCAGCAGGAAAGGTGTTTAGCAAAGTAGAAAATTTTTAATTACTGTATGTTGACTGTAAATTAGCTGAAATTGACATTTAGCAATTGATTGGTTGATGATGTTTTTTAGTCACCATGGCTAATGATTGTTATAACTTAATATGCAGAATTAGTTTAAAAAAATTCATCAATGAATGGCAAAATGTAGTGAATCATCCGATAGAGTAGAATTATCTAATATCAATGATTTGATGTTACTGTGTTGTAGAATCGAGTAACAGCACTGAAACGTCCACGATCTTTCTCTTTCAAGTTCATAGAACCTTCTACCAAGGATGACAACAACTGAGTCACTGTACGTACATAGATTAAAACAGGATGCAGTAAAGAACTGTTCAATAGTCCTTTACCATACAAGTAATATGAAATGTAAAATCAGTATACACTGTGCAATGGCATCAACAGGAGTATTACTATATATATATGTATAGTGCAAGAAGAATGTGTTGCTTAACTGAATGTGTCGCTGAACTTTCAATATTCCCTTTGTAATATTCCGTTAGTACTATTCTGTTTGTAAATATTCCGTTTGTAATATTCCAAAATTCCGTTTGTAATATTACCATTTAATTTTGTTGTATTTACTTACTGTCTTCTCTGCTTCGGCCAGTGGACAAGTAGCGTTTCAGTAAACTAAAACTGGATCTTTCTTCATTCATTTATTCTTTCTTTCTTTCTTCATTTCTCTCTCAAACATTGACTTTTTGTCTTATTGACACACCAGAACTGTACATGTATACATGTCATATATATTATAAATGGTACAATACCATATATAGGGATGGCAGTACGTTATTCGTTTGACTCTAATTATTTACTTCATTTCAAGACAACTGTTTAGCACCTTCCTAATATAAAGGTGGTTTTCAAGATGGCCAAATATGTACAGGAAAATTCATTCAGTGTGGTGGAATAAAAATGGTTGTTGTTGTATATGTTCTTGTAATAGGGTGTTTCTTGACCATCCGAGAGCACCATTACTCTCTTGTACAGGCGTGAGCCATAGTAATCCTGCCCTCTTCTGAGAAGTATTGGCCTGGAGATAGGCGACCTTTGATTTATTCATTTATTTATTCAGAATTGTAACAAGGCAATACAAAGTGTGCACTAGGCAGCAAGCATGCTGATAGCGTGCACACCCAACACATACCTAGACATAAGAGGTAAAAGAAACAACAATAAATAGTTAGAACAAGATATATACACAAATGACATTATCTTATAATTTACATCTGCAATTAAAATCAATTTTTTAACTGTACAGTAATTGTATGTTTAGTGTGGCTCAGCTCGAAGAGGCCCAGAATCTTTTTGATTGGGCAACGAACGTGTTGAGTGCATCTGTGAGTTTTGCAAATGCTTCGGGCTATTTTACAAAAGTTACAATATCAAATCAGTCATAAAAATACAATATAAATACATACAAGTCCATACAAAATTCAAACATTATCTCGATTCATATCTTATCAGTATCAACATCAAAGTTTCATTTCATAAATTATAGTCATTCTAAGTGACTCGACGCAGTCGGTTTCCAAAAGGTACAATTGACGTGGGCGTTCTTAGATCCATTGACAAGTTACTCTAACAATTATTTTCATCTACTTACTTAAAGGCACTCTATGTAGTTTTTTGACAATACAAAAAGTATATTTTTCATTCTTTTCTTTACATAGTACATTGACTTAACCCTTTAGTATTCCAAAATCATACTCCTCAACAAAAAATACAACATCCTTGCTCCTTAGAAGCTTAGAAAACTGTGAATGATCTTCTATACAACCTCTGGCCAAACCGCACATATGGTACATTGTATTGTCCACTGCTAGTGGTTTGACCTACATCCCAGTGGGGTGTCAGTTGATAGCTTACCAGTTTCTGAAATACCTAACCGTTTACCAGATTTTTTATCTCTTTTGAAGGGATAATGACCACAGTTTTTTCATGCCCAACAAAATACTCCAAGTTGATAATTATATTCCACCAGACCTCATGTGAAAGATATGAGTGTTTTTCTAAGGAGGCTATATCTTGTCACATGTGCCCCTGTCAATCAAGCCTGGCAAGCCGGGTCAATTAGCCACCCTAGGGGGCAACCCCTGTATGGTCCTGTATGTTGTTGTTGTTGTTGTTATCCTGAGCAAACCGGTGGCACCGGGTACCCAAGAAGGACTGTTTGAACGGACAAAATATACGTAAGAAATGTGAAATAATGACACAAATGTGTTGAAAAGTGATAGTAACTGTTAATAACACTGAAATTTAGTATAATTAGAATATTCCAAATTTTTGCGCAAAAAACTACATAGAGTGCCTTTAAGATTCTGTTGATCATCATTATGTGGCTATCTTACCTCAGTCACTGAATAGCAAAGTTCTTTTTATCACAACCATTTATTTTTCAAGCCGACGTTTCGATGTCTGTCATCTTCATCAGGGCAATACTGACTGGTTTACTGTGCACTGACACTAGATGTTACTTGGTGCATAGTGCACTAAAGGTGTTACATAGTTCATAGTGCACTTAAGCTAGTTTTTTTCTGCTTACAATACATTCCGGAACGTAGTGTAATTGTGACATACATACTAGGCATTGTTACATCATAGGGAAATATGCGGTTCCAAATGTAAAGTGTTTCTATATATAGTATATGATTTGTTAACTGACAATACTGAGCTATCACAGTCCCAAATGGAAATTATTAAAAGTCCTGTTACATATGTATTGTTAGGAATCATAATAGTTACAAACAATAAGAAAACCAATGTCAGTTATTAAGTCACTGTATAAAGCCTGGCAGTGTACAATCTCAGACTATCTATAACTATTGCCTGGATGACAGAGTCTGTAACCTTTGTCACACTCAAGTACGCATTCGGGTAGAATGAAACTGGACCCAGGCTAAATCACATCTTTAGATGATTCTTTATTGACACAACAAAAAGGTATAACGACTTTTGTATGATCTTATACAACTAAAGGTCTATCAAAGATAAATACAAGTATGGATAACTTCATCCTACGTACAGAATATATGTATGTGGCAAATTACATACAGAATATATATCAGTGATAACAATAAAGGTTTAATTCATTCTTTAATGTATTTTCCTATTTGAGTACTGTATTGGTTATCTCCTCTGAGAATGTAATTGAATTTATCTATAGGATCTAACGTATTGAAATCAGTTGAATAAGCAGAAAGAAAAGTGAACAGTAACAGGCGCTTATCATTGTAGAGTGTACAATCCATGCTATAAAATGTTTAGAGGAGATGGCGAAAGTGTAGCTAACAGAATTTGTTGCGATTCAGGCATGCCAACCAGAATCTTCATCATAGTTGTGTAACAGTTGTTAAATCAACGTCCGACTCGGTGCTTAAAGCTACAAAACGAGTTTTGGCACGAGCCCTGCACCAGATGGCGAGAATGATGGCGCCAATAGCGATGGTACCGGCTACTGCCCCGCTCACAGAGCCGGCAAACACCGGCAGGGTGAACCTGGGGGGAGACACGGGGTTCACCACTTCTGTCGAGAGGACGGCAAAAGTGGAGCCGATGGGACTCGATGCAATACAGCCGTATAACCCAGCATCTGCTGCGATGATATTTTGTATGATTACGTTACTGTTCTCCTCCACAGTCACTATTCCATTTGACTCTGCAGTTGTGTTCAGTCCAGCTGGGGGAATGACTGTGATGGTTGGTGTGGGGATTCCTGTCGCTTCACAGACAACTTGTTCAAGGATGTTTGCCCCCTGTAACAACTTCACGTTGCCACTTCTCTCAAATCTCACAATTTTTGGCTCCAGACAGCCCAAGAAAAGGTTTTCGAGTTTGATATCTTTCAGCTTTAGTCCACTGAGGTTGTCAGGTTGGGAACAAGTGATTCGATTTTCAAATGGAGAAGATTCTGTTATCTTCAACTTAAAGTCCACCATTCTACAGTCACACTGCCAGGGGTTGTTGTCAATGTTTACATCAGAGATGGAAGACAGAATGTCATAGGCCAAAGAGGGAAGAGTCGTCATTTTGTTATTGTCAAGTTTTAGCGTAGAAATAGTTTGAACGTTTGATAATTGTTCAAAGGGAAAGTCAGTGAGGTTGTTGTAAGACAATTTGAGGTCACTCAGTTGGAGTAGATTTGACAGTAAGTTGGATGGAATGGACTGAATGTGGTTGTTGTACAGGTGCAAGATTCCAAGTTGTGATGTTGAACTAAAGGCTCCAGCGTGAATGCTAGTGATATCATTATCATATAGATAAAGATACTTCAAGCCTTTCAAGTCTGTGAACATGTCAGATCTGAGGGTTGCTAACTTGTTTTGACTCAGGGACAAAATTCTTAGTTCTGATGTTGAATTGAAAGTTCCCGTCTGAATATTGGTGATTTCATTATCGTTTACCCAAAGTTCCTGCAAGTTTTCTAGCCCTGAGAACATGCCAGATTTGAGGCTTGTTAACTTGTTACGATGCACGAGCAAACGTATCAGTAGTGGTGTTGGATTGAAAGTTCCAGTCTGAATATCACTGATGTCATTTTTGTAAAAAATCATTTCTTGCACGTTTGCTAACCCCGTAAACATGCTAGCTGTGAGGTTTCTTAGGGAGTTGCTGGAAACCCGTAATTTGGTCAAGTTTGACAATTGATAGAATGCCTGGCTGCCTATTGTAGAAATGCGGTTGTAACCAAGATCTAACGTTATTAAGCTTCTATACCGTGAGAAATCTAACTGACCTACAGTTGTTATTTGATTATGTTGCAGATCCAAGCGTGTGATGTTTGTCGGCAGGTCCCGAGGAACACTGGTGAGGCCATGATTGCTGCAGTCACAGAAAGTTGAACAAGTTGAGTTGCAGGCAGATTCCGCTGTTCCCAACACCAGGAGAAACATCAGCACACCTGGTAGCTTCATCATCCACTGCCTGTCATGGGATAAAGATTTAAGACACAATAGAGATTAACTAATACCCTAATTAACTAACGTGGGGTCGTGTGGCGTAGCGGCAGAGTGTGCGACTCGGAACTAAGAGTCCCGGGTTCGAGTCCTGACATGCCACCGATCTTGTGTCCTTGGGAAAGACACTTTGCACGGCTTTTCTCTCTTAGCTCAGGTGTAAATGAGTATTGTCCTGTCATGTATTTGTCCCCTGTGTTGGTGGCGGCATTAACATAAGTTGAAGAAACTTGAGTGTGTCGTCACCACGTCTGGTGATTACATGTTGGAATGAATTTAAAAAAAAAAAACTAATACCCTTATATGTTTATTAATTGAATCCGATCTACATTAGTTGTACAGACTCTCCATTAGTTTGCACAGCGTTTCCATACATACTAATCTTCCTGGAGTTGTTATATACATATACTACTACAACGTGATGAGGCTTAACTACATACTGCATAACATTACAACATGGCAAGTCATAACTACAAACTACATAAACACACACAACATGCAGGTTGTACCGAGTGGTCAGAGGTCTTATTATAAAATTAAAAATTCATATTTACACTTTGTCGACGTTACGTCTACCACCTAGATTGTAAGGGGTTGGAGGTGTCCGCCATAGTTTTTAGCCATTCCCGGATGTGTTTCTTAAACGATGTAGGTGTGAATAGTCAGATGTGTTGTGGAAGTGTGTTATATGATTTTGGTGCAACGGTACAGAAATGATCGTTTGGCTGAGGCTGTTTTTGGTTTTGGCAGTTCATAGATCTGCATATGCAACATCCTTTGCAGAGAGCAGCTACTTTACAGCTCTCCTCCATGTCAGACTAAAGTCTGCAAAGGTGACCACCTCTTCAAGCTAGCTTCCTGGCCATGGTGACTGCTTTTTCTCGATCCCATTTTTTCCATTGACGCAATTAAAGCGACCTGTTCAAGGTGACCGCCTAGCCAACGTGACCGCCCTGAGTTGGGTCCGCTCTACGCCCGACACCTGACCATGGTAACCACCTAAAGAAAACTCGCGGAGAAACCAGCCAGTTTGCCTCGACTGCTAGACAATGTTTTCTGTTCGACATACTTTGTGCCATAGTGCCACCCTCCCAATATGCATTTACCACAGAACTAACCGCATTTGACATTAGAACATCTTGACTTGGAAACCATTCATGGTGTTGGGCGACCCTCTTCAATGAGACCACCTGTCCAAGGTGACTGTTTTTCTGTTTTCGCCCGGGTGGTCGCTTTGGGCAGTTTTGACTGTATATGAGTTTGTGCGAAATAGGACCAGACGTACCTTGATGTTGCCGTGGTGAAGATTTTTGTCAAGATCAAGACTGGATAACTGCTACCCGGACAACTGCTCTCCTGCAGTTAGACTGTCAGATCTAGAAACAATGATTTAAAGTGTGTCTTCAAGTGAAGATCACTTAAACATGTTGTATGAATACATTATTTTCTATGAACGTTAGATCCTTAAGATAAATTAAACTACATTCTCAGGGGAGATAACCAATACAGTGCTCGAATAGGAAAATACATTAAAGAATGTTTCGATCTTAGAGACCACATGTTAGAGAATAGTTAAACTTTTATTGTTACCGCATACATATACTCTGTACGTAAGATGACCTTATCCACACATGTATTTAGCTTTGTTAGATCTTTAGTTGTAGAAGTCCATACAAAGGTCCATGTACTTTTTTGTTGTGTCCATAAAGAATCCAATCCATTATAATCAAGGACAAGGAAGAGTCCACAAGTCTTAAGAGTTAAGAAACATGAAGTTTGATTATCACTTCTTAAAGGATTTATCCGTCAGGTCTGAAAATAACCAGCAAGCCTTGCAAAAAGACCACTGCGTAATCTTTCACTGGCTGGGAACAAACCTGGATAGTGATAAATATTGATGATTGGCAGCTATCAGACACAACTTAAATTAATTATCCACACAAATCTCGGGGACAACAAATTGAACTGGTGCTAATAAATAGGCTAATAAATAGGTTCCAATTTCAGAGTTATGGTTAGTTCAATGTTGTAATTCTTTTTGAGATCAGTAGCATCAGGGCAGTAACTACAAGTTACATAATGAGCCTCTCATATAATATTTACCTACTAAAAAACTTATAGTACCTTCGAACTTTCCTCTGAAGACAGTAAGGGTATCATGCTCAAGAGTTCGTGTCGGATGTCTTCTCTCCTAACTTTAAGGACCAGGTGAGCTTTAAGAATGTCTACTCTCGGTAGTCGTTCCTCTATTTGACAACTCGTGACAAGAAGGTGGAGCTTGTACTTTGATCCCTATACAACATGGACGATTTGTGAACTTTGAACTGGATGGTTAAATATTGATCAGGGCATGTGATCACTTTTATTTGTAGCTTAGACACTCACAATGCATATCCAGAAATATAGAATATAGAATAAAGATTTAAGACACAAGAGAGTGTAACTAATACTATATATACATACACATACACACGTACAAACACATTCACACAAACACAGAGAGAGGGAGAGAGAGAGAGACCCACATACCCACAATACAAGAACAGAAGTGCACAAATAAACATTAGGAAATAATTACACGCATCAATTTTGGGTCTCGGTTAAGTCATGCATTCGCACACAAAAAGATGCATGTACATAAATACATACATGCATGCATAGTTGCACACCCACACGTGTGTACACACACATACGCAGAACTAACAGTGCTAGTGGCAATCCAAATGCGCAAAAACAAGCAGTGACAATACATTGTACAAATGCCCAATAATATAATGACGAGACGTATCTATAGACACACTTATTATGAAAGCTAAAAGGATTACATATCATACCTCACACGAACCTACCTGAATTATCATTACCTTATGCAGTGTTTCCTGTGCTTATCGCTAAGTGGCGCAGGTGTTCAAAGTTTATTCGCAAAGCATTCTTGACTTGATGCCGTAACAAGAAGACTCCTCGCCATTTGACGAAGTGCCAGAAGGAGTGTGGGCACTTCAGCTACTTGTAGGCTTACTACAAGGGTGGGAAGGTATACCTAGATGGGTTCGTTTGAGATATAAATGGGATTATTTTGGCAACAATTATAATAGGGTGCCTTAGAATAGCGAAATGAGATGAAACAAGAATATTTAACCATAGTAAAAGGTTGAACTTTATTCCAACACACAATTGTACAGGGATCAAATTTTCAGCGACCACTGTCGCCTTCATCAGGATAATTATTGACCAATCACTTCACAACGTGATATCGCGAGAATGACGGTTTACAAACACGTGACCTTATTCACATGAGAATTTACTGATACGTGACGTAAGCAATTGATCAAAAGTGCCAAGGGTCGCTGAAAATTTGATCCCTGTACAATTGTGTGTTGGAATAAAGTTCAACCTTTTACTATGATTACTACCAACACAGATGAACTTTCATGATAATCTGAGAATATTTAACTTCAACGTATAATCTATTAATCTGTAAAATATCTGAGTACAAAAAATAAGTTACTGTACAGTATGTCTTTTTTCGCGTGTGAGGCCCTTTTTACTCTCTTTTAAGCAGATCGCCAGCCTTGCTCGCAACAAGGGGCTTTGGAGGGACATTGCAGTCGCCTGCACCGCAGCCGACCGATGATGATATGATCCTCCTTCAGGAGTATTGTGCTCAGACGGTTTTTCGTGTTCGCAGCTAGAACACAGGGTTCCGTTTGTTTATCGGTATGTAATTTTATACGTCGTCTTCAGGCATTTCCGTGATGATGCATGTGTTTTTATTTTACCGTAGCTGCTTTCGTGTTTAATGTAATATTTCAGATGCACCCCTGCATTAATGAGGAAAATTGGAATGGCCTATGGTTTTGAATGGCGGACCGGGCCGATTTCCTTCAAGCAGACGTAGGGTGGGTCAGTAATTAAAACCTTCGTCTTCGTCTGGGGTACCCTCGAAAACCCATAAGGGGTATAACTGAGGGGGGATGAGCATGTGAACCGATGAACTATGCTACGTACAGAACAGAAAATAATTTGCTAATTTTTACTATTAGATATTCTGATGACTAGTATAAGTTATAGGTAACTTTTAACCATCATTATTTTCTGAAAACGAAATCATTTTGCTTTGACACAGAGACGGAGCACTGAATTATTAAACGTGTTGATGAGCATTTGATTGGAAACTGATTGGAAATGAGTGGTTTTAATTTACCTCATAAACACCACAAAGGTGGGGTAACTAAGAAATGAGAGGTAATTTTCTACTTCATTAGAAGCTAATTTTGTCGATGGAAAATTTCATATCGTACCTGGTGGGAGTTGTAGCTGCGTCATCATTGCAGTGTCGTAACCATGGCAACAACGATTGGCGTCTTCTGTACAAGACTGGGCGGGGTCACGTGGTTAGAGTCCTGCAAGACCACGCCCCGTGATGATGAATGTGTTTTTATTTTTACCGTAGCTGCTTTCGTGGTCAATGTAATATCTGTTTATCTTATGTAGCCTGTATTTGCACAAACTCTCGAGGGTTTATGAGCCCAAGGGGGCGGCCGCCACGAGCCCGATCTTATGTATTTGACCAGGGATTTAGCCAATTTTACGATACGTTGTAACCAGTTGTGAAGTGCTCACACTGTTTACATACAGTATGTCTATACTGTTCCCAAGCTGCAAAATAGAAAACTTCACTCAGAATTGTCGCCTATTACTACTTGTTATATATTGCCCTGTTGGGGTCAACTGGACTGCAGCTGGCTCACTCTTAAACACAGTTGCGTAATACAGCGCAATTTAACACAAACTTTACAATCCATTGTTACCATGTGGCAACGTTATTTTGTGGCAGTTCTATGTTGTACTGTTTTATGGTCAACTTGAAGAATAGCGAATTTAATGGCAAAGTTAAATGTGGATCCAACCTAATAAAGTCAAAGTCAAGAAAAACCTTCAGTATAAACGCCAAATACATGCCACTAGCCAAGATTTAAGAATTTCAGTAGTACTACTTTGTAAACTAGTGTTGTAGATACTGTCTTCTGCGGCCTTGACAATAATACAAATGCCATATAGCGGTTTCATAGAGGTATGACGTACCATCTTAAATTATTCATGTCCCACAGGGAATAGACAGCGAGTGAAGCTATTTACCACACAATTAATGTGCTCTTAGCAACAGAGGAGAGAGAAGATCACCTGTCAGTCGCTTTGAGCTACACTCGCGACTGGTCGCTTTGTGTGTCTGCGGACGAAAACACAAAGTAATACGAAGCTTGGATCCGCGAAGATATTTGGATACGTGAATAGATTCATCGCAAAAATATTTCTCGGTCAGAGGAGTGATATCTACAGACGCTACAGAGGACACAGGTTTGGCTTCAGTTTTGTTTATCAGCTTCGTTAAATTGTATCTAAAGCAAATAGTTACCCATCTATGCGGGTACGGAGGCAACAGGTGCGATGTTCGTAAAACTCTGTAAGGGAACGTTACACACAAGTTTTTGAATTTAGACCCATAACCTTGCCAAATTGAACTCAAGACAAATACCACAAGAGTGCTATCAAGAGGATGATATAATCTTACGTTACTATAGTATTTTCGGCAAGTGCTTGTATCTGTAGCATGTAGTTTGCCCCCTATGCGGCCACGGTAGCAACAGGTGCGATCTTCGTAAAAAGGGAACGCTACGTAGACGTTTCTGAATTTTAATACCATAAATTTGCCAAAAAGAACCAAACACAAATGCTGCATGAGTGCTAAAATTATAATATTATAATCCCAGTTTCTGATAGCATTTCGATAAGTGTTGAAAACGGACAAAATCCAGGCTACATTGCTCTACCTACGAGTTTTCTAAGACATTTGTGCTGTTTTTGTTGTAGATTTGAGAAGAAACGGGCGAAGTTTAAACATGAAGCTATTCACTCGTTTCTTTTCACATCTATCACATAGGATGATTATCGAGGAAAAATCCTCCATCATATTATATATGACTCAACTGACAGTCCCGCGCACAAACCGGGTTTTCGATCACCATTCCTCATCCTAGAGACGATACTTGTACTTTATATTGCTACGGGCGTGCTCATGCGTTCTGATAAAGCACTTCTGAGTTCTTTCTTTGCTCGGCTCTGTCAAGAAAGTTGCATTTCCGGGGCCGAGGTTTGTTTGGATTAGGAGTTTGTAAAAAGGCTGCTGTCTAGTCTATCGTGGTTTGGGCGGGGTCTCTTCGGGGCTGCAGGAGCGTCCACAGCCCGACTTATTAACCAGGCACCCGTAGGGGTTTTGCACGATATAAGTCGAATTCCTGCCGTACAAAACTCGTACAGACGCAAAACTCTCATCGGGCGGACGTGTGTTCTTCTTCGAAATGTGTGGAAAGTAATATTACACATCTGTACTGTTGTCAGAGTTGGAGGGCCGGGCCTTACGTTTGTTGTTTGATTACGCGGTTAATGTTTACATGTAACAGGTATGAATGGAAAACACGATATGGACCGTTAAAGACACGATGAACTGGGCTACAAAACAGAGAATAATTTGCTATTTTTTTTACTATTAGATATTCTGATGACCAGTATAAGTTATAGGTAACTTTTAACCAGAAGTATCATTATTTTCTGGAAACGAAATCATGTTGCTTTGACACAGAGACGGAGCACTGAATTATTAAACGTGTTGATGAGCATTTGGTTGGAAACTGATTGGAAATGAGTGGTTTTAATTTGCCTAATGAACACCACAAAGGTACGGTAACAAAGGAATGAGAGGTAATTTTCTACTTCATTAGAAGCCAATTTTGCCGATGGAAAATTTCATATCGTACCTGGTGGGAGTTGTAGCTGCGTCAATGCAGTGTCGTAACCATGGCAACAACGATTGGCGTCTTCTGTACAAGACTGGGCGGGGTCACGTGGTCAGAGTCCTGCAAGACCACGCCCCGTGATGATATATGTGTTTTTATTTTTACCGTAGCTGCTTTCCTGGTCAATATAGTATTTGTTGATCTTATGTAGCCTGTATTTGTACAAACTCTCGAGGGTTTATAAGCCCAAGAGATCTTATGTATTTCATTCGGGATTTAGCCATTTTTACGATACGTTGTTACCAGTTGTGAAGTTCTCACACACTGTTTACATATACCATACTGTTCCCAATCAACAAAATATAAAACTTCACGCAGCATTGTCGCCTATGACTACTTGTTATATATTGCCCTGTTGGGGTCATCTGAACTGCAGCTGGCTCACTCTAAAACGCAGTTGTGTAATGCAGCGCAATTTAACACAAACTTTACAATCCATTGTCACCATGTGTCAATGTTATATTGTGGCAGTTGTATGTCGTACTGTTTTATGGACCACTGGAAGAATAGCGAACCTAATGGCAAAGCAACGTGGATCTACCTAATAAAAGTCAAAATCAATACAAATCATGCAGTATAAACGCCAAATACATCTATACCACACAATACATTTACGTACTAGCCAGGCTTCAAGAATTTCAGTAGTACTACTTTGTAAACAGCGTTGTAGATACTGTGTTATGCGGCCTTGACAATAATACAAATGCCATGTAGCGGCTTCGTAGAGGTATGCACGACGCAGTGTCTTCCATTATTCATGTCCCACAGGGAGTAGACACCGAGTGAAGCTAATTAGCATATAATTATTGTGCTCTTAGCAACAGACGAGCACCTGTCAGTCGCTTTGAGCTATACTCGCGACTGGTCGCTTTGTGTGTCTGCGGACGAAAACACAAAGTAATACGAAGCTTGGATTCGTGAAAATATTTGGATACGTGAATAGATTCATCGCAAAAATATTTCTCCGTCAGAGGAGTGATATCTGCAGACGCTACCTAGGACACAGGTTTGGCTTCAGTTTTGTTTATCAGCTTCGTTAAGTTGTATCTGAAGCAAATAGTTGCCTCCCTATGCGGGTACGGCGGCAACAGGTGCGATCTTCGTAAAAACTCTGTAAGAGACCGTTACACACACGTTTCTGAATTTAGACCCATGCCAAATTGAACTCAAGACAAATGCCACAAAAGAGCTATAAAGAAGACAATATAATCCCACGTTACTATAGTATTTTCGGCAAGTGCTTGTATCTATAGCAGATAGTTTGTCCCCTATGCAGGCACGGTAGCAACAGGTGCGACCTTCGTAAAAAGGGGACTCTACGTATTCTAAATTTTTGACCTATAAATTTGCAAAAAAAAAAACACAAATGCTGCATGAGTGCTAAAATTATAACACTGTAATCCCACTTTCCGGTTGCATTTTCGATAAGTGTTGTAAACGGACACATTTCTCTACCTACGAGCTTTCTAAGAAGATCGGGCCGTTTTTGTTTGTTTTAAGAAACGGGCGCAGTTTGAACATAAAGCTATTCACTCGATTCTTTTCAAAGCTATAACATAGGATGATTATCGCGGAGAAATCCTGCATCATACCATGTATGTGACCCACAGGGACTCAGGTGCACAGTCCCGCACACAAACCGGGGTTTCGGTCACCATTCCTCATCCTGGAGACGATACTTTTACTATTGCCACAGACGTGCTCATGCGTTCTGATAAAGCTACTCTCAGTTCTATCTTTGCTTGGCTCTGTCAAGAACGTTACATTAATTTTCGGGGCCCTTAGTTTCGAGTTGGAGGTTTGTAGAAAGCCTGGTGTCTATTCTATCATGGTTTGGGCGGGTCTCTTCGGGGCTGCAGGAGCGTCCACCGCCCGACTTATTAACCAGGCACCGGTAGGGGTTACGCACGATATGAGTCGAATTCCTGCCGTACAAAAAACTCGTACAGACGCAAAACTCTCATCGGGCGACCGTGTGTCGTTCTTCGAAATGTGTTGAAAGTAATATTGTAATATTACACATGTGTACTGTTGTCAGAGTTGGAGGGCCGGGCCTTACGTTTGTTGTTTTATTACGCGGTTAATGTTTACATGTAACAGGTATGGATTGAAAAAACGATATGCACCATTAAAGACACGATGAACTGTGCTACAAAACAGAGAATAATTTGTTATTTTTTTACTATCAGATATTCTGATGGCCAGCACCACTTTTGGGTTACTTTTAACCAGAAGTATCATTATTTTCTGGGTACGAACTCATGTTGCTTTGACACAGAGACGGAGCACTGAATTATTAAACGTGTTGATGTGCATTTGATTGGAAACTCATTGGAAATGGGTGGTTTTAATTTACCTAATGAACACCACAAAGGTGCGGTAACAAAGGAATGAGAGGTAATTTTCTACTTCATTAGAAGCCAATTTTGTCGATGGAAAATTTCATGTCGTACCTGGTGGGGGTAGTAGCTGCGTCAATGCAGTGTCGTAACCATGGCAACGACGATTGGTGTCTTCTGTACAAGACTGGGCGGGGTCAGGTGGTTAAAGTCCTGTAAGACCACGCCCCGTCCAAACTTTGCGTGCGACTGGGAAAAATGTACACATGTGCACTCACTTGCAATATTGTGATAATCGCTAGATGGCTGATTGAAGCGTTAGTGATTATGACCATCCATATCTATGAAGCAACGACACTAAGTCACAATCATACACAAACAAACACACACACACACACGAATGCACACACACACGCACACACACACACACACACACACGTACACACACAAACACACACACATACACACACATTCACACAAACACTCATGCACACAAACGCACACATACATTCACACAAACACACACGGCAAGTTCTTTGCCGGGCAAGCATTGTTAATTTCCCAACAGAAAACGAAAGGACAATTAAATATAATAATCATATGATATAAACTACGGTAATGAACCAACTGAAATGAACTGAATGAACCTAACAATGTTCCTGGCACCGGAGCAGAGGTAATATGGCGTGACACTGTCACATCTCTGTTGATGTGGAATGATGAATGTATGTTTTGTTCCTTGTTTCTAATGACAAAACGTGTAATTTCACTCCATTGTAGGATATCAACAGCCATGTTGTCTACGTTCGTGGCACTAGTGACTGTCCTGGCGTTTCAGATACATCCCACTCAAGCCGGTAAGAACCTGAAAGTCTCCTTACATTATCGGGAACTGCCTATAGCAATGTTAGTTTTTCTGTCTTAGTCATTTCAGTAATCATATTACTAGATGAGAACCGAACTTGTCTTCGGGATCATATGTCGTGATCTTTAAAGAAAATTACAGGAAAGTTTGACCTCAGTGTCAATAATATTTATTGTGCGATGCTCAGCTCAACGATTTCAGTTGCTGAATATTTTTATTACCTCCATGAAAAATGTAGGTATTGCTTTTGGCGCGCCTGTGTCTGTCTGTGTGTTTGTATATGTGTGTGTGTGTGTCTGTCTGTCTGAGTGTGCATGTGTGTGTGTGTTTGTGTTTCCGCACATTTGTAGTAAGCATAACTTCAGAACCCATTTATGGATTGTGATCATATTTGGTATGCTGGTAGGTCTTACGAAGATGAAGGTCAGGGTCAAATATCGGCCTCCTGGTCGATGACCTTTGTACTGCAGGAGAACTTCCGGTTTTTGTATCTTTTGTCCTGAACATGCTATGGTCTTGAATTTTTAGTGACAGATAGCTTTTCCTGCCAGGAACAAGTTGTGTGGGTTTGGTCCCTAGCAGCTTGTTCTGGAACTGCAGGGGACTTTCTGGCGAAATCTTTAAAAGCCAATAAGTCCAGACAGGAACAACATATTTTCATCATTTTTGGTGTGTAGGTAGCTGAGAATTGTACATAATTAATTGTTATGAAAGAAAGGACACATCTTATGACAATTGTGATCAGTCCTCTAGCACAGAATGGGACAAGTAAAAATAATATTTGTCCAGAACTGTGCCCGGTCAGGCACGGTTCTGGATAGTCCTCCGCGTGTCCCAGAACGTAGATTTGCAAATCTATATCCTGCAGCATGGGACAAGGCATACGCGTGTACCGAAACATTATTTATCTAGAAGTTTATTTGCTCTAGTCTGTCACGGATACGCGTCAGGACTATCCAGACCCGTGCGTGGGCTTGGTGGATAAGCACAGTGTTGTTTCCGATTCCAGGGCTGTGCTTGGGTTAATCTACTAGTACGTTCTTTGGTATACTACGCGATGTGTTGTATCAAGAACCGTCTCAGATGGGCCAAGCCTTAGAAGCCGACAGAACCTTTTTCATTTTGTTGCAGAATGATACAAGAAACGCTGATTTTGACAATACATATAAGTCTAAATCATCTTAGACCAGCGTGAAATGTAAAAATGTACTTTACAGAGCAGGAAATACACCGACCCTTCTTATTTTTGTCCCGACGAAAAACAAATATGGCGGTTTAAAACAGTTAAACGACAACACGAGAGGGCTTCCTCCCTCAAAACACTAAGCTCCGCCCCCAAAGCACGGAATGGGACACGGCCCTTGTGTGTCCAGAACTGTGCCAGGTCAGGCACGGTTCGAGACAGTCCCCGCGTGTCCCAGAACGTAGATTTGCCCCAGGCACAGTTTGGGACACGCGCCGTGTGTCCCAAACCATGCCCAAGCACAGTTTGAGACAATGCACGGTTTGGGACACAACACCCATTCAGGCATAGACAGGCACAGTTCTGGATACAATAGGTCTCTCGGAAATCTGTCCTAACATTAATAAGAATTCACACGTATTTAATTATGTCAATGTTCCACGAACGTTCACTGCACATTTGCCATTTAAACTTTTTGGCGACGCCTTAGGGGCGGAGCCCTTAGTATAGTACTGCGATTGAATTGCCAGGAATTCTAAATATTCCACGCACGCATTCCCTAGGGAATTCATTTTTGGCAACACCTTGCGGGTGAGGTCTTCCCTCTCAGCTGCTTAGCTGTTTTTCAATGACTTTGGAGCTTTTCCGACAGCTTGGACAGGAACATTGTTTGGAATTGAACAAGGTCAGCATTTGAAGTCAGATGTTTCAAAGGAGATGTCGTGATTGTCTGAATATAAACCAATATGTTACCGCGTTTAGTTGTTGTATTTTTCTAGTAGTTTTCCTTCTCTTTATGAAAAGTATGTGTTTGTACATAAGGGCATGTTGATTTGATTATATGGATGACATCCGCGTGCGCATGAATTTTCGGCCGTTTCCAAAATAAAGTTTTCAACCATACTGTAAATCGTGCAAAACAGTTGCTAAATGAGCAAAAATTTACCATAAGTTGCAAGGAAAACATTTAGAAACGATACCAATATCGTAGCTATAGAATGCCAAAATCAAAGGAAAAATGTAAAGAAATGAATTCGAAGAGTAGATTATTCGCCATAACATATTCTGTGCCATTTGTTCAACCTTCATGACCACGTAGATTTCATAGTGAAAGCAACTTTTCTTTTTTGCAAAACTTTTTTTTATTCGCACGCGCGCATCAGTTTTTGGGTTCCCAGAGGATGTCATCCATATAATCAAATCAACAGATGAATTCAAGTTCTTTTCAATGCAACTTTGTGAGGATAAAGGAAAGACGTAGAGACAAGGCTTTCCGCACACTGGGCACGGGAGACTTTTAAGACGAACTGGCTATGACTATATGATACTGGATACGTTAACCCTTTCAGTCTTAACTGAGTTATATTTTCCTTCTTGAACTGACGTCCCTTGTCGTAGAAATTCTGTGTCTTTATGTATTACCGCATAACAGTGGTACATCACTTCAGCACACATATTTGTAACCGGACCAATAACAGGGACTACAATAACAGAGAACTGTATAAGTAATTACAAGGGAACTGTTCGGAGTTTCATCAGGTCTTGCACTATCAGTTAGTTAGTTACAAGTTAGTTAGAGAGTGCAATCGTACCGCAGCTCCCATATACACCAATTGTTCAGCATATTCATGGTTTTTAAAATGTGTACATTCTCCTCGATTCGATTTGAACCGTCATTGGCGAGGTTTTCTAAATACATATAAAATAGGTCATTACAATATATACACTTCTTCTTCTTCTAACGTCAAAGGAGTAATGACTCCGGCAACCACCTAGGTCCTCCTCCCTCGAGCATGTCCAATAATGTCTTCAGACCGTTCATTGTTATGATTCCTATCTTAAGCTGTGTCATAAGTCTTCTGCTATCCCCACGAAGGTACACTCGTCCTCCCTCTCCTCTCTTGATTCCCTTCTCTTCAAGTCTCATCATTGACCAAGTAGTTGGACCGTTGTGCCTTGACAGACAGTTCTTCTGGATTATATCCACAACATCGGGCACAGTCAACTTGATGTCACCAAAGGGTACAGCAATTCCGGCCAGTTTGTCTGCCACCTCGTTGTAATAAATACCCGCATGACCAGGGACATAGACGATGTTAAGAACGCCTTTTATAGCCATCAGAAGTCGAAGCCACTCCTTTTTAATTCTGGCACTCTGGAGTTTTCTCACTAAGCTGTATGAGTCTGTTAAAATGATGGATACACTAAGATACTGTAAAACACAGGCAATGTATCATCGTAGTACAGACGTATGTAAGTCATCCCAGTAATCTCTAACTGGTGTAAGGTTTACTGTGGCTAGCAATGCATTACATAGCCTGCACGTGATGGCTCTGCTACTGATCTGGTTCCCTCCCATGTTGCCTTCTTTCTGTCGACGATGCTACTACTTAATACTCATATGATATCAACATCAACAATATCGAAACAAAATTTTACACAAAGGAGACTGGAGTCAGTTGTCATGATCAGCTCTGTGACCGGGAGGCTTGAGTCAGCTGTGACCATGGCTTCTGGCATATGTGATTGTCCCGGCTATAGCACGCCAACTGCCGGCTAGAGCTTGCGCACTAGCTAAGGCACATGGTACTGCAACTGTATGGAGAGAAAAAAGTCTGTCATTGGTCTGATAAGGTGTGAGGCTGGTTGCTAGTGTCAGGACAAAACAATAGACAGGACTTGACACATTGAAGGTATCTATACATGAAATATACTCCTACCATTATTGTATATGATACCTGACAAAACTCAAGATTAAATGGCTACCCTCTATCCACGGCAAGTTAGTCAACAGTAATATGCCTCACACCGCGCCTCATAAAGATCTCGGCCAAAACATACCGTGGTGCGAACGTCACAGCAAATAGTAGCGGTTTGAAATGAGTCTTCAAAACAAGGTGTACATTTCCTAAACAAGTCATCGAAACGTAGAAAACAATTGAAGACAAGGCTGATATAGAATGTGCGTCAAAAGTACACTTGACATGACAGCTGTTAACAGCATAAGTAGCAGTCCTTCCGCGCTTCATAAATTAACTTAGCTAAAACTGGCCGACGTTACCAAACATCCACACCCTGTAGAATTATCGATAAAAGTACGTATGAACTCACCTTTTTATGTCTGTATCCCTGGTTTAGAGAAGGCAAAGGGGCTACGTATCTCCACGCCCGCCGGCCTGGGCAACTGTAGGGAAACAGCGGTGATTAGCCTCGTGTCATTATCGCAGGAACCGAAAAGGAGGAAGAAACGCTTATAACCTTACTTCTTTACCTGTGAATATGTTAAGAAGTGGCTTCCTTATTTTGGCAAGAAGGTAGCTTCGTTTCCTATTTGAAGATTTCGCTTCTCATTGAGCCTTAGGACTCGGCTACTAAAATCTGAAGTTTGTTTAGTATAAACTATTTTTTGGCCCTGCCCAGCAACAAGCTTGACACCTAATTCGACCAATGGCAGCCCCGCTTCTCCCAGACATCCAGATACCACGTGTTTCAGAATCTCACACGCCACATGCCTTGCATTGGCCGTGAAAATAGTTCTATGTCGCCATGTGGGCCATAAGGAAATTTATGCCGGACACGAAAGCCGATCCTCGCCCGCTAGGTTTACGTTGACCAGTGCACGGGGAATTCCCCGTTTGTAACGAACGGGGTTTCCTTGTTTGTATCGCACGGGCCACGCTCAAACTTTTTCCGGAATTGACCAATCAGAGCATCCATGTGCTCTCTCCTCGCGTCCTTTTCCACAAGCAGGACGGTTTCAGTTTATCGAGGGCATGGGCAATAAGACAAGTTTGGCTTATCTGTCTAGA